GCCCAGACTCGAGTTAGGGCCTGGTCAGACTGCGGCAACTTTTGGTTGCCTGACGAAAAAAGAACAGCGTCCAGAATTTGAATCGCGATCACACTACACATGTGGGGAGAATGAAAATTCAAACCTCCATTTCGAGCGTCAAGTGGTAATCTCCACGAACGACGTCAAATTCCTTCACCTTGGGATCGCCAACACCTTCAGTGCAATCCTTGCAACCAGCCTTATGAGTTTTGTTGTTGTCCGTGGCCAATTAGCTCCTCGATATCGAGATGAAAAAATCAGTGATTATCAGCGTCAATGGCGTATCAGCGTCAAATCCTGTTTGGAGCGGAAAAGCGTGGCCCGTTCTTGCTTTTTTTTTGGAGCGTCAACTCTCGCTTTTGCCGCTCTGGCGGCAAGTTACTATGGAGATTCGGATTATAATCCTAGGATTATTTCGATTTTGCCGCAGTCTGACCAGGCCCTAAACAAATCCAATCATACAGGTACGAGATTTTCACGAGACGAGACTGCACCCATTGGATTGTTTCGTATGAAACAAACAAGTTACTGAACCTCTCCACAATAGAGATTTCCCCTGATATGCGAATTTATTTTGCAAACTCGGTCAATTGGTACTTGAACCTTTCCCTCCAGATTGGGAACTGCCAACGATAGTATGCCACTGACCAGTGCCTTACTTGTAACGTACCAATGTACAATGAATATGAGTATTTCGACAACACATCTAACATAAGCCTTACCGTCAAGAAGGTGAATTCGCGTTCTTCGCACACTGTAGACAAGGGCAAAGAGATAAAAATGGATCTAAATCCGAATAAAATCAGCACACGTTTCCGTAAATGAAAGGGTGAACATAAGCAAATGAATCGAAGGAAACCGGTCAACTTAGAGATCACCTGTCATCGAGTATTCCGTAAAAGGAGGCCTCGCAGCTCGGCAGCAGAAAAGCAAAATTTAGAAAAGAGATCCTGTCAACTTTTCCATTATTTATTGCATTCCGCCCCAAAATCAGCACACTTTTCCTGAATGAAAGAGTCAACACAAGCAAATGAATCAAAGGCAACTGGTCAACTCACCTGTCATTGAGTAATATTCCGCAAAAGGAGGTCTCAGCAGCGCCGAAACGAAATAAGACAGGCCATGAGAGGAAATATCCGAAACCGTGAGCTCATGCAAGAAGCAGTTCCAAAGAAGGAAGTAAGTTCCTCGCGCATGCACATCCGAACACGGATCCGCGGACTGCATGCATGCACTGAACACAATGTCTGCCGTGCACGTGCACAGCACACGGCTACCACGCGTTGGTAGATCTAATACCGAGCACATTACGTAGAGACTTACGTAGCCTAAGTGAAATACCGAGCACCTTACGTAGAAACTTACGTATCATAGCGTAGCGATGTCGTTTTTTCTGCCATGTGAACACAATAATAGAAAAGCTGACAGGATCGCTTTTCTAAATGCTACGTTGATGCTCAATGTTAATATTGTGTGAGTCAAGTGTGCGCCCTGTGCCAGTTGACAGCCCAGTGTTCACAGCTGCACAACGTTCCGCACGGCATTCACTCGATTCATTGGACTTCATTGAGCACCACTGTAGTATTCTGTGTTGGTTGATCAGCCCTTCTAGTGACGACTCCTGTCTGTCACTCTGTCTTGAAAGGGACTTTTCGGCTTTGTACTGCATGACCATTGTGTGTGGACTCACGAGTTACTTGGAGTACAATTCACTATAAACTTCACTATAGTAAAGCCTGCCCTGACAAGATGCCCTTGGTGCAGCGGAAACTGTCCTGATGTGACAGGACCCCGCTTGATCCAGGAATGCACTTTCGATCCACAGCACTTTGGTGCATGAAATTTTGTCCGGTAAATACAGGATTCCGCTTGGTACAGGGTCCGGCAAACACGGGTTTTACTGCAATCCAATTTCCCAATGCATACGTTTCATTGCATATGCTTCAATTGTATTTTGTGTGTACTTGGGGGGGGGGGGGGGGGGGGGGCTGGGAAAGTCTACGTTTTGTGAAGCCGCTGCGACCGGCGACAATTATGTACATGACATTGAGGAGATTATTTGAAAAATAATCCCCGCGGCGCGGACATATCCTGTTAGGCATATGCGGGCAGAAAAATTGGCAGAATTCAGTACTTTTTCTGGTAAGTTTCATGCATGTTTGGTATGTGGATAAAGAAATGGAGCAGAGTTCGAGGAATTGCCCGCCATAAGGTTTGTATGGTTCTGCCAATTTCACAGCTTTTCGAGCAGAATCTCCCACCTTTTCGAGCATTATCCGCACACCCCTATATCCTGTTTAGACGACACTTTCGGGTGATCAGCATGAACCGATGTGAACGGAACACTGAACATGGATATTACCAAGAGGGGTTATGTACTCTTGATATTACGGTGAAGCCTAACAATTTGTGGCATTTAACATACAGAAAATGATGCTGATTTTCATATATGTATTATAACATTATGGGAATATCGCAGTGAATCTTCAAAGCACTAGGCCGGTGGTCTGCACTCTACAATGTGACCTGTGCGATTATATCGGTAAATAATGTCTGCCTGTTCCGAGCCACCAATCGCACCAAAGAACAAGGAGCAGCAAAATAGAAAACAGACTACATGTATGTCCAGTATTATACCCACATCATGGTAAATAGCCGTACCCGGAACATTGAGATAATTATAACGTTACCGTAAAAGCCCGTGTATAGGTCCCGGGTGTATATAATAGCAGGCTCGATTTCCTGGGCGTATGCAAGGGCACGTGCGTTATTTTGGAACAGGGTGTATACTTTATAGAATTAAAATATTGAAACTCTTCTCTTACTCAATGGCTGGATCCATTTCATCTTGTAGCTAAGCATGCACATTATAATACATGCACAGTATCCCTACTTCAATGAACCAGAAACAGTGTTCTCGTTCGGAAGAGCGATCCTATAAACCACATCCATCCATCAACATAACAGTAAGTACAGTCACCTTCGCTAATAACGACTGCGGATATAACGACAATTCGCGAATAACGACAGAATTTCCATGCCCAGAGCAAAGTCCCATCCCAGTGTAATACATATAATGAGACTTCGGGTATAACGACACTTCACGAATAAGGACACCTTTTTGATGCCCTGCCGAGTGTCGTTATAAGCGAAGTTGACTGTATTGAGTGTCGGTTCCTGTACTGGTCCATGCACCGAGCAGAATAATAAGTGATCCAGTGTTCATTATATAATTCCTTTGTTTGTTGAGGGAATGGAAAGGGGCCAGTCCGACGAAAAAAAATCAGGGCTGCAACGGGTAGGGGTTTGGTCGGGTAGCGGGCTCGGGTATTTTTGTCAAGTCGACGGAATAGCGCGAGCTCCAGTGTGGGGAGCAAACCCTTTCGTAATAATTATCGCCAAAGTCGCAACCATTATTTCTACAGTCCATTTCAAAACTATAGACGCGTACCTAGGCAAAAACCGATATGCCAGCATCTATACCACATAAAATCTGTGATCACTTTGTGCATAAATTTTTCCAAATTGGGCGTCTGTTATCCAATCCTTTAGAAACTATATGAGAGTAATTGTGGAGCGGTCCTGAGCAATATTCCGAAAACTATTCTCAAAAAGTTCCAGCCAAATTTGAAATATTTCAAAAACCCTACGCGTCTATAGTTTTGAAATGCACTGTAGGGTAGGGCTTGGCGGATAATGCCAGCAGAAAAATTGGCAGAATTCGGTACTTTTTCTGGTAAGTTTCATGCATGTTTGGTATGTGGATAAAGAAATGGAGCAGAATTCGAGGAATTGCCCGCCATAAGGTTTGTATGGTTCTGCCAATTTCGGTGCAAAAACAGCAGAATCTGCCACCTTTTCGAGCATTATCCGCCAAGGCCTACTGTAGGGCTCAAACGGTTAGTCCGATTAACTGGTTGCAGACCGGTTACGAAGAATTAACGGTTTAATAACCGATAAAGATAACGGTTACGCAGTAACTTTTCAGTCAATTTTTCATGTATCAGGTCGTTGCAAAGTATGCACTTTCGCAGCCTGTCGCACGCGTACGCAATTTCTGGGCTGTCAACTCGGTCATATCTGGTCTCTTCGTGTGAGAGTATGTATGAATGAGCATGCAAGAGAATGTACATGTGTGCGTTGTACTGAATAGGGTACATTTTTTGAATGAGTATAGTCAAATAAACGGTTAAAAAAGAGTCCGCAGGATTGCCATGGCTTATAGGTTATAACCGTTAAACCAACCGTTAGCTTAGCAGTTAACCGTTCGGGGTAAAACCGTGACCGTTTGAGCCCTGATTATTTCGTACTACTATTATAGGTATTCAATAGAAACAGTTGCAAAATCCTTTAGATGAGCATGTCACAACAAAGCGTTCTGACATGCGCATCCTCAAAAATAGTCATGATCGGCTCCTCATCAAATGTCAAAATAAGCAATGATGAATGGCTGAAAGACGACATTCACGAGCTAGGTAACGTGTCACAGAGCTCAGAAATGTATAAATTCAGGGGTATAGTACCAATCAATCTGCCAGAGCTGCGGTAGAAAGATGTGGGATAGGCCAAAAATTGACCAAAAGAGTCTATCCAATTCCAGCATACCTGCATGCACATCATCACATCAAGAGCCATTTGGCTCGTAGGTGACCTCTTTTTGGCCTCCTTGATGATTACTGATCCTCTTCTTCAATCTTCTTCACTTCCTCTTTGACTTTTCCGTCACTTCCCTCAAGTTCCCAGCTCTTCCTGGTTGTATGTCAATGGTGTTGTGAGGTGCAGCGCAGAAACGCGATGCTATCTGGTTTCAATGTTCAGCCGGATTCTACATTATTTTATTCTCCAAGAGCGTGTTCAATCATGAGCATTATACATGTAGGTGAAGCCAAGTCGGAAACCCAGCCTTCCCTGGTGGCCCACTCTCCAAGGATAGGGCAATAAACGTACTATCAGATGTATGATGCATATGCAGGGCGCAGTCATGTTGACTCCATCATACGTGACGATAATGCCACGCGGTTCAGTGCAGCACGGCCACGTCCGTACATTGCCTCGGGCTCAGGCCCGGCGTAGCGTTTCATATGTCTGCTACTGAAATGATCTTGGAAAACATGATCACAGGTTTAAGAGAATCACGTAGCCACCACAGGTCTTCGTATAAATAGGCCGTTGGACATTGACAACTGTGCAAAGCTTCAATAGCGGCCCGGGTGATGAATTCTGCCCATACTAATACAGGCCTGTTGATTTCCCATTTGCAAATGAATTTCTCAGACGTGAATGGACGTCTTCTCACCACACATAGTGAAATACCAAGGCAAATATCACGCTTGGCCTGGTCGCTGATTACGATGGGATGTGGACTGGTACATCTGACAGCATGCTGATTCGATCACAAATTGCAGAAATTACTCATTATTTTACAAACGAAATCCAGTCATCTATATCTCCCACTCAATGTCTGACGCCGAAAAAAGAGAGAGAGAGACTGAGAGTACGTAGAACTAGTGTTGACATCACTTTAGTACTTACTCAAGTCACATCAAAATCCTTATCAGCGGGCTCCAGGCTGTGGAACGCCTCCAGTGGGTCTGAATGTTCGACAACGTCAACCATTACTTCTTCAACTTGGGAATCGTCATCTACTGTTTACTGAGTGGTGTGCGGCCAGTCGCCAAGTACAAGTACCAGTGCGAGTACTGATTACGATGATGCCGTTCACAAGGGAGTAGTAAAATACCTACTCCGCGCCCAGCTCACAATCGATCGATTTGGTTTCTTTTTTTTGTTGCGCGATCGATCGATCGTTGCGCGATCTGTCGATCGACAGATCGCGCAGCAAAATCGATCGATGTGGCAGATCCATAGATGGCGCACAACATAATAATTATTATGTTTTTCGATTTTGACAGCATGTTACAAGGCGAGGACGCGTAGTGCTCCTGACTACAACCATAAACCGGTTGGCAGAGTACCGGTCGGTTGTAGTCAGGAGCACTACGCGTCCTCGCCTTGTAACATGCTGTCAAAATCGAAAAACATGTTAATAGGCGATTCACACGACAGGCAAATCCACGTTTACAGGAAAGTCACCATGGAGATATTCCTGCGGGTGACCAAAATTTGCCCGCGGGAACCAAAAGTGTCCATGGCCTTTTTGCCCGCGGATGCACTCATCTGCGGGCACTTTTACAGTTATGAGGCTGTGAGGTCGTACGTAAGTACGGTAGTCTTGAACCCTGGTTGTTTGGCCTTTGTTTTTGGGTACTCATTCCAAATCACCACAGTAACGCCGTATACTCACCGGATACTCGCGGCGCGGGAGCTCTGGCCGCCACCCGCGGCCGTGTGAACTGCGGCCTCACGTTTCACTTCCTGCGGGCACTTGACAAACGTGGATTTGCCTGTCGTGTGAATCGCCTATAACTACCAAGCAAGGCTTCTGTATATAACATAATATGTTGTGCGCCATCTATGGATCTAGTATCTAGTTACAGTGGTGGAGAGTTACTCTTAAAGGGGAAGTTAAGGCAAAACTTAAAATTTCACCAGTTGTAGTCTTCGGGGTGCTGAGTCGAATGGTCTTGGTCCGAGAAAGCTGAGACGCTCCCTTCCTACTTGAATCCCAATCGAACTCGCGCACTTCCACCGAAACTGGGTGACTGCGCCCTACTAGATGGGGATTTGTATGTCACTAAAAGCGCCATTTCGTTCTTATAAAAGCACGGATGACCGCGATTGGCCCATATGTTGTAGTCTTTTGGACGCTGAGTCGACTGGTTTTGGTCCGAAAAGGCTGCGATGCAGCGGTCCTCCTTTATTCCCAATCGAACATGGTTGAACAAGCGGTCACGTGCTCCTGGGTGCCCAAATCACCTGGTCACCACGCCAGCAGGCGACAACTTTCACACCAAGGTTCAACTCGAGTGACAGGACTGCACCCAAAAAAGGTCAACCAGGCTAGTAAGTTGTACCCTGCAGGCACGGTGACCAGGTGACTGGCGTACGCAGGAGCACGTGACCGCTTGTTCAACCATGTTCGATTGGGAATAAAGGAGGAACAACAACGCAGAGAGTTCAGTATCGATTTAACGAAAGAGAACAAAACGCTCACAGCGGCAAACAGCGTCCCAGAACTGGCCCACATAAACTCGGAGAAAAGTCAAAACTGTCGAACACAGAGACATACATGATCACGCACAGTGACGTTGACAGAGGCCAGCAAACCTTGCCAATGCCAGTGCAGAAGAGAAGAACAGGAGAATGAGAATCAATGGGCACAACTGCTGCTACTGCTGCGCACACTAACTACAAATTTATATGCCAGTTGTCGGATTTGGGACGGGAGTCATATAAATATTTTATTCATAACGTCGTCAAAAGAAGTACATGATGAGAATAGAGAGTAACGCCAGGGCAAAGGGTCAACGGCACAGGTAAGGACAAACACAGGAACAGTGCAGTGAGGCGGTGAGACACATAGCTAAGGGTGCGACGGTGCAGTTGTGCGAGCGGCAACGGAGGAGGTGAGATTCGGTGCAGATGTGAAACTGTAATACTAGTGCTATTCAGTTGTCATGGTGACAGAGAGAAAGTATGTAATAATGTACAAAAAGGAAGATTGCGCCACAAAAGCAGCAGCAGCAGCAGCTGTTGCGGTGGCAATCAGCTATACTGATGGTAGATAAGTTACAACATCACACGACAAAGGCGTGTGCGAGCGCTTTTTCTTTGACGGCGTTGTCCCGGCGATGTGTGCTTAGGCGATCAGATAGCTGGCGTCCGTGGTGATCCCGCACATGTTGTCATGGTTACGTGCCGTCCTGATGTATCCCTTGTTGTTGCAAAAGAAGGATCCACGAGCGGGATTCGAACCCAGCACCCCTGTCTTTCCGGGACAGTGCCCTACCGATTAGGCTACCGGGGATCACACACACTCATGGGTCCTTCTTGCTACACTGCTCCCCCGCCCCAACAGGCTGTGTCCTCACGCCGTACCTAGCTCGCGGGGGGTACGATGGGTCGTGGGTTCGAGCCATTGCCAGGCGCCAATGTTGCAAAAGAAGGATCCACGAGCGGGATTCGAACCCAGCACCCCTGTCTTTCCGGGACAGTGCCCTACCGATTAGGCTACCGGGGATCACACACACTCATGGGTCCTTCTTGCTAGCTCATTAAGAGTCTCATGCTCTACCGACTGAGCCTGTTGGGGCGGGGGAGCAGTGTAGCAAGAAGGACCCATGAGTGTGTGTGATCCCCGGTAGCCTAATCGGTAGGGCACTGTCCCGGAAAGACAGGGGTGCTGGGTTCGAATCCCGCTCGTGGATCCTTCTTTTGCAACATTGTCTCCCCAGCTGGTACTCCAGGTGTTCTTGACCAGCCAGTAGTCCTGCTCTTCCTCAACACCGTAGCCGACAACCAGGGCAGCGTGATTCGGGTAAGCGTTGGTGCACTTGCTGTCGATCAGGACTCCGTGCTTGTAGTAGCGGAAATACGTCGATGAGGCGTCGATGGCAATCGACACTGGGCCAACCTGCGATACGACAGCCGGCAGGAACAGAAGAGAACACACAGAGAGTGAAGAGTATTACAATTACATGTATACGTTTCTATACATCGCCGAATGCAATCAAGTGCTGGGAAGTGCTCCAAACATCCACAACGCTATTTTACATCATCAGATTTCTTAACGACAACAAGAGTCAATAAGCTGACCGGGAAAGCTGCAACAGCCATGATGACACAGTGGTTGAACACAGGGAGTCTTAAAATACCGGTATTTTACGACTCCCTGGTTCAACAGACACGATGGTCCAACAGAGTAGAAGCGCAGTGGGCCGGCCAACAACACACTATGCTGTGGTGCAGCGAGCAGTAAAACAAACAGTTGGTGGACAAGCCATTGATTGTGCACTCTCATTGTAGTATCTAAAACCAAAGAGTGGTATATACATGTATGATAAAGCTTTCTTATCTTTAGCCGGATATGTTCTCCTAAGACACAGCTTCTAATATGGGCCACCATGCAGAGAGTATTCTGTTATGTGTAAGAAAAGTACTCACCGAGGCAACAGCCTCCTGCAGGGCGCTCTCGGACTTGCGCGGCAGCATGTCCTTGTAGCTGGTGAGGGTGGCGCCGACGTGCGACTCCTTGAAGCGGCATGTACCGGCCTTGGCCGTGTAAGGGTAGCTCTCCTCTGTGTCAATGTCGTGGTTCTCGATGATGTACTTGAAGCCATGGTCCATGAAACCTCCGCCACAGCCACGATCAGCCTCCTTTTGGTTGCAGTCAATCAGGTCCTGCTCGGACAGCGAGACAAGGTTGCCAGTCTTCTTGAAGTGCTGGCCTTCGGTGGAGCCGGTTGTGCTGAACGCCCAGCTGGAGCCGCATGCACCCTGCGTGTGAGCACACAACATGCACACAACATGCACACACACACACTCACACACACACACACACACACACACACACACACACAAGTAGAAAGTATTATGGGTGTACCAGCTAACTGACGCCATCGATGACATCATAGCGATTTTACCATAAACCGGGGCGTCTCACGTACGCGGGTCAAAAGGTTACACACTGTCTGCATCAACCGGTGAGTACCAAAATGTCGATAGTTTCCCACTCCTCACAGCGTGCTCAGAGTACTCACAGTGTGCTCGGATCAGGTGGAAGTTTCTGGAATCAACTAGAACCGGCGACAAGTTTGAACGGGACGCGGGGTCCATGGCCATCATCTTTAGCGGTTTTCATATGAATCGCACACGTTTCAAAGAGATGTAGTAGTCACGTCACCGCTTTACCCGCTTCACATCCTGAGCGGCGGACTTCAACCAACGAACAACTGGGCGGGGATAAAAGTGATTGGATCCACCTTGATCAGTCCCATTCAACTATCAACCATCAAGATGCTGTTTTCATGCTCAGTCTGTATGAAGACCGCGACCGGCCTCCAGCCGTTCGTGGACCGCCTGAAGTCAGGAAAAGCTGAAGGCCGGTCTGCAGTCCGAATTTCTCTGCTCATGGGAAGTGATCTGTCGTGCAATTCTCAATTCTCCGTCTGCATCAACCGGAGAGTACCAAAATGTCGATAGTTTCCCACTCCTCGCTCAGAGTACTCACAGCGTGCTCGGATCAGGTGGAAGTTTCTGGAATCAACTAGAACCGGCGACAAGTTTGAACGTGACGCGGGGTCCATGGCCATCATCTTTAGCGGTTTTCATATGAATCGTGCACGTTTCAAAGAGATGTAGTACTCACGTCACCGCTTTACCCGCTTCACATCCTGAGCGGCGGACTCCATGATCATCGCGCAGAGTTTTAATGTTGAACTGCGCGCGCGCGCGCGCCGCACCCTTCAACCAACGAACAACTGGGCGGGGATAAAAGTGATTGGATCCACCTTGATCAGTCCCATTCAACTATCATCAAGATGTTGTTTTCCTGCTCAACATGCGCAAAGACCGCGACCGGCCTCCAGCCGTTCTTGGATCATCTACGATCCAAGGGCACAGGAGGAAGCTGGAGGCCGGTCTACAGCCTCTGTTTCTGTGTTCGTGGTAAGTGATCTGCGGTACAATTCTCTTTATTTGAAATACCATAGATATTATACATGTTTTGATCTGTTTCCTCCCGTACAGCGACAACCAATGGCGGACACTTGAACATTTAAAACATCATCTATCGACCGTCAGCCATCTCACCCATTATATGATGAAGCTAACTTCCCACTACGGAGAATTGCCAGTCAACAGTGTGATTACGATGATCCAAGCACAGATAGCTATCAACAATATCTAATTAAAAATTTTAAAATCAACATATCTGTGCTAAATGTGTGTCTGGATGGGGGTCGAGCACTCATTCGATTGCATGCTCCGAGTCGATGGGTTTGGCATGCCGAAGTGCAATATGATTGACGTAGTGGGTAGCTGCAAGTTCGTTGAACAGAGTGGAGGCAAACGTATGACAGTTGTTTGTTACAACGTTGTAAATACCCTTGACGAGATTGGAGTCGTAGAGGAAATCTATCAGATCCTGCAGATTTACATGTGATTTGTCAGCAATAATCTCCTCTATCGGAGTTTTTCGATTGGTGCTTCGATAGGAAGATCTCACGCTTGAACGAGTCTTTCCTCTGCATATGCTGACACCGTCGGTTGTTTTTTCCGCCGACCACCACCAGTTTCTCGTTTGAAAGACGACGAAAGCGTGGAAAGCAATCAAATCTGTCGGTTGAAGGTACCACATGGGAGTTTTGTAAATGCCCGCCCAGATGATGGTCTCTTCACCTACCAGGGGCTTGAGATAGGTTTTGATATCGGCGCTGTCGATTCTCCACGCATCTTGTCCGATTTTATTCACGTTCGTGTGGAAGTACACGGCTTTATCGTAGTTAGCACCTCCAAATTTGTGCGCGAGCTCCGAAAGTCCGGACGAGATGTTCGTGCACGAGGCAGACAGGATGACGCAACCCTGTTGACAAATTGAGCATAATGATGCATGACGAAAGCAAGTAGAGTCTTTTTATACCGGCTCCTACGACCAATGAACACTCGTCGGCTCTGTATTATAGACGGATGCAGACGGTGCACCGACGCCATTTCTAGAACATCATGGACCTGATGCATGCCAGAAAAAAGATGCTATCAATCTCGACAGCGCCTCCTAGGCGTCGACAGACATCTGATTAGTTTTCTGAAGAAAACAAACATTGGTGACTTTCTCTAAGCTCACTTCAACCTTCATCCCCTGCAAGAAACGTTACATTCCCTGAAGAAATCCTGTTTGTACAAAAGTCTCAACTATGCTATTGCACTATCATGCCTCCTGTTCGATTGCAATAATATCGTTCAGAAGCGTTTACGCACCTTCCTTCCACGCAGCATGGTGATTATTCTGTAATCTTGCTTCGTTAACCGCCATATCGTGAACGACTGCGAGAGAGATCAGCGAACTGGACGACTCGATGCTGGTGCTTTCTGCACCAGTCTCTGGATGAGTTCACTGAAATTCTGCGAAGGAAACAGCGACTGCGGCGATTTCAAGCAAGAAGCAACAGGAGTTCTCTGACGACAAACTTTGGACGCGAAATGCGCGAGTCGACTAGGATTTTGAGGTGTACCAACTCATCGATGACGTCATAGCGATTTAACCCTAAAATTGGGGCGTTTAAACCTAATTATTTTCCGATTTACGGTAAATTTGTGCGATTTAACCTAAAATCGGAGCGGTTTACATATGACGCCATCGATGACGAAATGCGATTCAGCCCTAAACTGGTGTGTTTAACCCTAAAAATCGGGTCATATTAACCCTAATAATCCCGGTAACCCTAACCCTATCACCATGGCGATAGCCCTAACCCTATCACCATGACCAAGAGTACATGAAAACCAGAGTGTGCAGCTCGGACGGGTTGCTGTCACGGCGAAATTCCGTGATTACATCATTTTAGTGATGTAGTGCGTACAAGCAGGATTCAAGCAGGTCTCTTTCTGCACAACTGCAGCTCAGTTGTACGCACTACGCCATTTCCCGCCTCAGATCTGCAGACTCCTGCACCAAATTTGATGTAATCACGGAATTTCGCCGTGACAGACACCCATAGCAGAGTAGACCCCAAGCTGCACACTCTGGTTTTCATGTACTCTTGCCATGACGATAACCCTAGGGCTATCACCATGGCGATAACCCTAATATTCCTGGTGACGATAACCCTAACCCTAGGGCTCTCACCATGGCGATAACCCTAATACTGTAGAACGGGTAATTTTAGCGTTCTCCCATTGCCGGCTGGTTTAGCGATTTGCAGCGATTTTACTCACAAATCACCAGTGCACTACTAATGTCTCAACGGATTAGCGACTTGAAACTTTAGCAAAAATGAGCCGATCGCTAAATTCGCTAGGGTTTTTACGTCTACAGTATTTCTGATGATGATAACCCCAAGTTAACCCTAGCACCATGGCGATAACCCTAACCCTAGGGCTATCACCATGGCGATAACCCTAATATTTCTGATTACCCTAACCCTAACACCATGACCATAACCCTAATATTCCTGATAACCCTATCACCTAGGGAGGGCCCGAATATGCTTGCGCATATTTTCGCCTATTTTGGTCCCTTTGACACAAGGTCGCATAAAGTAGCAAATCTAGCATATCGTACCAAGTGTAGCATATTTTGCTACAAGGAGCAAATAATTCGCATAATTATAAGGCAGATTGCGGAAATGGACAAGGAAACTTACCACGGCACGCTCGGTCAGGGAACACTTCCAAACTTAGCCCGGAAGGAAAATGCTCATCCAAACACGGGGCGAAAATTTTGACCCGAGAAGAGAGTGTCCGCGACGCAAGGTCGCATAAAGTAACAAATCTAGCATAATTGTACCAAATGTAGCATATTTTGCTACAAGGAGCAAATAATTCGCATAATTAGAGAGGTTCCGCACTACGTAAAGTTGAGCAACTTTACGTTAGTGGGCGGGAAAAACCCGTGAATTCGCGAGTTTACACTCCACTTACGGAAAGTTGTCTACGGAGAGTACGTAGATAGGGCTCTGATAACGTAGCTGGTCCGTAAGTGGATTGGGGTACAAATTTATGACTCTCTCCCCAGGTCGATCTGGTCGTACACTACAGCGTTCGGAGTTGCCAAGGGCTGCTACGTGATTTGAAAACTCCATATGGCGGAACCCAGATGCGCATGCAGTTTACGTACGACTTTCCGTAGATGGACTACGTTTTTTACTAACGTAATTACGTTATGCGGAACCTCTCTATTATCACTGATATCAGTTCATATTTCTAGCATATTTCGAGCATATTTTTCTGCATTTGTGTGATTTCGAAGCATATTTTGAAGCAAGTGGCCAATATGCGAAATTTTTGAGCATATTTGGGCCCTCCCAACTATCACCATGACGATAGCCCTAAATTTTACTGGTGGTGATAACCTTATCACCATGACGATAACCCTAATATTTCTGGTGACGATAAACATAACACCATGACGATAACCCCTAATTTTAATTTTTCTGCAGACAATAACCCTAGTAGCCCTCGTAACCCTATCACCATGACAATCCTATTACCATGCCAACTCTACTCGTTTTATGTGTGCGGGTGCTACAGTTGAAGAAGTTCTCGTACCATTGCTTTTTGTGTACAGATCACCACAACAACACTCAGAAAACCCAACAGTCCATTTCAAAACTATATACGCGTAGGGTTTTTGAAATATTTCAAATTTGGCTGGAACGTTTTGAGAATAGTTTTCGGAATATTGCTCAGGTCCGCTCCACAATTACTCTCATGTAGTTTCTAAATGATTGGATAACAAACGCCCAATTTGGAAAAAATTATGCACAAAGTGATCACAGATTTTATGTGGTATACATGTAGATGCTGGCATAACGGTTTGGCTAGGTACGCGTCTATAGTTTTGAAATGGACTGTAATAAGCATCTTACATGTATGTGTGTACAGGTCCTACATGTATATACCCTATTAGCAAATATTGTTGTTATGTGTACAGATCCTATCGTTATGCT